AGCCCTCGGGGCTCACTGCCCTCTCAAGGTCTGGGTGCCCGAGGTCTGAGTTCTTGGCACCATGAATGCCCAGCTGGACTGCCCAGACCTAAGAAACCAGGCTTGGGAAGTGGCTACAGATTTGGAGGCACTCTGTCTTCAAGGTACTTGGAGAAACAGGGCTGTGGTCAGTGCTTCTGTCTGCAACTGTGTCAGTATCTGTGTCTGCATCTGTATCAGCATCTGTGTCTGCAACTGTGTCTGCAACTGTATCAGTAACTGCTACATCTGTATCAGCAACTGCATCTCATCTATGTCTGCATCTGCATCAGTATCTGTATCAGCATCTGTGTCTGCAACTGTATCCGTATCTGCTACATCTGTATCAGCATCTGCGTCTCATCTGTGTCTGCATTTGTGTCTGCATCTGCGTCAGTATCTGTATCAGCATCTGTGTCTGCATCAGCCTCTGTCTCTGCATCTGCGTCTGATCTGCGTGTGTGCCCAGAGCAGCCTCTGCATCAGCGCCTGCACCTGTGTTGCCCAAACATTGGCTTCCTGTCAGCATCCATCATCTCTTGTCGGTCAGTATTGTCTTGCCTCCCTGTCCCCCGTATGCCCACCTGTCCAGCCTCTCACTTTTCTGTCATCCCTGCTGTCAGCCTGGCACCTATCCGTCTCCCTCTCTCTCCGAACAGACGACTTTAAGGAATTGGCGCCTGGAGCCATGGACATTGCTCTGGAGACCCCTTGCCCCGAAGGACAGGGACACGCAAGGCTTCCCGGAGTACCCTCCAACACACCGCCCCTGTTTCCACCTCACACCCCCCACAAGAGTCCGGCCCTGAGGGACAATCTCTCTCAGGGTCCTGAGGGAGAGTCTGTGTCCTGAGGGACAGGCACTCTCTGAAGTGACAATCTATCCAGGGGACAAACTCTCCTGAGGTACAAGTTACTTTTCCTGATGGGACAAGAACTTTCCCCTGGGTACAAGCTCTCTTTCCTAAGGAGGAAAACTGTTTCCTGAGGGGTAAGCTCCCCCCAAGCAAGGGACAGACTATCTCCCTTCAGGAGGAGCTTTGTCTCCTAAGGGACAGTCTTTGTTCCTTGAGGGACAATCAGTCTTCTGAGGGGACACGTCCCTTCTCCTGAGGGAGAATCTCTCTCCTGAGGAGACAAACTGTCTAAGGGGTGAGTTCTGTATCCCGGGGGGATGCCTTCCCTCTCCCGAGGGGTGCGAGGGTCGCTCTGGCTGAGGGCGCCTCACTGTCTTCCGTTGCTGGAGCCCTGGGAAGGGCTTGCCTCACTGGAGTCTGGGCCGAAGACCAGGTCAAGGGCTGTCCTTGATTGACCGCTGGACAGCCTGGGCGCCTCAGGCCTTGCCTGTCTCTCAGCAGCCAAAGGCAACAGGGACCTGGGTGCGGGGGATTCTGGGAAAGTCAGCAGAAACAGCAAGCGAATGGAAACCCGAACCATCGAGGGGCTGAGGGGATGAGCAGCCCAAGTCAGACCCCCTGCTCGCTGTGTTACACACACGGGCACCACACACGCCTGCACCGCTGTATTCACGCACACGCACACACATACACACACAGATACACACACGTGCATACACAGATGCACGCACACACATACCACACATAAACATGCACACACACCACACACACAGATACACACACGCCACACACATGCACACACATATGCACACACATGCAAACACACGCACACATGCCCTGGCCAACCTGCTCCTGCTTGGAGTCTGTGTGACTCCACACACAGCCACTTTCGGGGAGCGGCAGGGCCCGGGCAGAGCCTGGCGCCGAGGGAGCTCGTGCTGCGGTTCCGTGAGTCTGTGACTCAGAACATGCTGCGGGCCAGGAGAGTGAATGATTCGGCACCAGGCACCGGGCAGGACGCAGCGGCTCCCGCCAAGGACAGGCCGCGCCCCGCAGTCCGGCCAGCCCCGCCCCGGGACATCGAGTGGGGAAACTGAGGCCCCAGCGCTGGACTCGCCGAGATCCCCTGGAGAAGAGGGCCACTGGCTTCTCTCAGGGTGCTCCAGTGCTGAGGGGGAAGCGCGGCACAGGGCCCCCGGGACGGAAGCCTGGTGCACCCCGACATCACACACGCGCGCGCCACTCACCCCTCCACGCCCATCCCCGCAACACAGCCACGCACACGTCGCACGTGCACACACACCACTCCATACACACTCATTCACACACCACACACACAGTCACCACTCACACACACCGCTCCCCGCACACTCAACACTCACACTCCACACACACAGTCACCACTCACACACCGCACACTCACACACTCACACCACTCCCCATCACACACACCTCACCAGCCCGAGGGCCGGGCGTGTGTGCTGTGGGGGCTACACCTACTCGCCAGGCCTCTCAGAGGGATCGGGCTCCCCCGGGGCCACAGGGCCTGACTCGGAGGGAGCCGCCCCTGAAGGCTGGACTCTCAAACACTGGCCTGGAAGTCGCCTGAGGCGGCTGGCCCTGGAGACCACGTGCAGGACAGCCCTGGGGCGCAGGGCAGGCTCAGCCCTGTGGGTGCAGGGCCTCAGAACCACCAGGGGCCGAACACAAGGGAAGCCAGAGGGACCACCGGGGCACCAGCGTGGGGCAGACGGGGGCTCGGAGGGAGGGAGGGCCGCCCCCACACACAGGCTGACACGTCACGGGGTGCCCACGTGCTCCTGGACTTCCGTGAGTCAAAGCCCCGCTGATGGAAAAGTGCCTCTTCCAGAGGGGGGAGGGAAGGTGGCAAGAGGAGGTCAGAGGTCAGAGGTCACGGGTCCTGGCAGAGGGGAGGCCAAGAGCATGGAGGGTGCCCATGTCCAGCTGTACTGAGGCCGGGGCTGCCCTGGCCACGGGCAGGAGGCGGGAGGGGCCAGCAGCGTCTCCGAGGAGGGTCCCAGGTACCCCCCAGGAGCTGTGCGTGGGGGGAGCCGCCCCAGAGTCCCCGGGGCGACTGGGGGCTTGAGTCGCAGGACACCCCTTCCCGGGCCCCCAGCCTGATGGCACAGACTCTGGGAAGAAGGCGGGCTCAGCGGAAACACCCCAGGCAGCCGGGCCCAGTGACCCCACCACCCTGGGGAGACCTGAGCCGCCTGATGGGGGTCCTCCACGACCAGGCTCAGACTCACCCACAGAACCCTTAGCCCTGGGGCCGCAGGGCCCAGCTTCAGGCACTTCAGGGGGCTGAGCACCTCAGGGTATCCTGACCCACTGTACCACCCCCTTCCCATCTGCTCACTGAATCACTGTGAGGACTCATGGACCAAGGGGCCAGCCTCCAGTCTACAGGAGAGATCGATCTCACCCCAAGAGTCCCCTGCATGTGGTTTAGGAAGAATTTCTGGGACGAGGTCAGGATTATCTGGAGGGCTTCCTGGAGGAGGCACCATTTCACTGCAGATGGAAGGTAGTGGAGGCTTTCTTGGTGTGGGCAGGGGTGGAGAGCAGGTCAGGCCTTGAGACAATTGTTTGTGTCTAGGCTTGAGCTGGAAGGGGTGGGGCCAGGAACACAAGCCTGCAGAGACCAGAGGGGGCCACTCTGGGGGGCAGGGATGTCAGCTCCACTGAGGGGTCTCGGGGACAGTCCCCGGGACCGGTCACTCTGCCCACACAGCCTGAGGGCGCTCGGACCTCCTCTCCCTGGGCTTCCAGGGCACAGACACCGTTTTGGCTGCAGTTGCCCCTGCCCTTGTGGGCCCAGGAACTGAAAGAGGCGCCAGCTGGACACGCAGCCACAGACACAAGTGACACGCATGCAGACATGTAGATGCGTATTCAGCCGACATGGAGGCTGACATGTGGACATGCAGACACACAGGCAGCCGACACGCAGCAGACATGCAGACACACATGCAGACGTGCAGACACTCATGCAGCTGATGTGACACGCACTTCTGACACGCAGACCCCTGCAACCGGCGCAGACACGCGGTGCCCACCCCCAGACGGTGCTTCTCTGCTTCTCGTCAGGTGTGGAGAACCCCAGGAGGGGCTGGGCTGCCCGGCCGCCCCTCCCCCGCCTGCTGGGGTCTGTCCCAGCCAGAGCAAATGGCCCACCGCGCCTGCGGGACCGGAAGAGCAGCCGCCAGCGCCCCGGACCGGGGGCTGGAGGGGAGGCACCTGCGAGCGAGCGCAGGGTTGGCCCCGCAGCGGCCTTCCTGGCAGCGCGTCGCGGTTACTGCTTTCCGGGAAAAGTGCTGACTCGCGGGGCGCGGGCCGGAGCGCGGCTGAGACGCCGGATGGCTCACACTTTAATCAATTTGCAAGCCTGCAAACGAAAATCGCCCTGATTTATGGGATTCCGCACGCCAGTTCTCCCTGGCCCCCTCGGCTGGCGGGGCGCCGCCCGTCCTCCCACCCAGCCTTTGTCCTGGCCTCGTATTTCACCCAGTCGCAGCAGCTGGGACCCGACCTTCGCCCAGTACATGCAAAGAGCCGGATCTATGGCGAGGAACCCGCAGGTTTGCTGGGCGGTTGCAAAGCCGTTGAGAGCACGCCTGCTCGGCCCGCTGACCTCCAGAAAGCAACAGGGAGCAGCCTGCCAGCCGGGGCCAGGTCAGTAGCCGTCAGAGGGCCGCCCGCTGCTCTGGATACCAACGGCTCTGCAGGGTGAAGGTGGGCACGCTCGGCTGAGGCCAGCCAGGGCTGCGTGGGGCCCTCCTGGAACTGCGTCCTTTCAGGCCACCCACTGCCCATGAGTGGGCACTGCCCAGACCACACTCCAGCCGGCTCTGCGCTCCAGCTGTTTCCTGAGAAAGACAACTTTCCGTGTTTCACCAGATGGCAGTTCCAGGTCCACGGTGCTGGCCCCAGAGCAGGCGGAGAACCTTCTAGATACTAGGCTGCCAGCGAAGCGTAAGTGGCCATCTTCCTGGCAGGAGAGGCGATAGGGCAGTGGGGTGCACCTGCGAGCCCTGTCACCCATGCAGATGAGAGGGCCCTGGGGACACAGCCAAGGGTGCTAGGCTGGCCCTGTGCACCAAGGCAGTCGCAGCCGGATCTCCGCACCTGCTCCCACACGGAGAAGAGGACAGAGGGTCAGCTGCAGCAGAATGATCCAGAAGATCTCACCAAGAAACACTCGAACTGGGCGCACCAGGTACCATCCGCCATCCACCACCAGGCACAGGAAGGGAAGTGTCAGCACCACTGGGTGACAGCAGAGATGCTGCACCCCCGCAACTGTGCCACCTGGAGGGCCCACTCTCATACCTGGGCATCTTGCCGCGGCTGTCCCGGCTGGACACTCACCTAGACTCTCTCACCTGGACACTCACCTTGACCCTCTCACCTGGACCCTCACCTGGACATTCACCTGGACCCTCACCTAGACCCTCTCACCTGGACACTCACCTTGACCCTCTCACCTGGACCCTCACCTGGACACTCACCTGGACACTCACCTAGACCCTCTCACCTGGGCCCTCTCACCTGGACACTCACCTTGACCCTCTCACCTGGACCCTCACCTGGACACTCACCTAGACCCTCTCACCTGGGCCCTCTCACCTGGACACTCACCTTGACCCTCTCACCTGAACCCTCACCTGGACCCTCACCTGGACACTCACCTAGACCCTCTCACCTGGGCCCTCTCACCTGGACTCTGACCTGGACCCTCACTTGGACCCTCACCTGGGCACTCACCTGGACACTCACCCGGATCCTCTCACCTGAACACTCACCTGGACACTCACCTGAACCCTTACCTGGGCACTCACCTAGACACTCACCTGGACCATCTCACCTGGACCTTCACCAGGACCCTCTCACCAGGACCCTCACCTGGACCCTCACCAGGACCCTCTCACCAGGACCCTCACCTGGACCGTCACCTGGGCACTCACCTGGACTCTCTCACCTGGACCTTCTCACCTGGACACTCACCTGAACCCTTACCTGGGCACTCACCTAGACACTCACCTGGACCCTCTCACCTGGATCCTCACCTGGGAACTCACCTGGACCCTCTTACCTGGACCCTCACCTGGACACTCACCTGGACCCTGGACCCTCTCACCAGGACCCTCACCTGGACCCACACCTGGACCCTCTCACCTGGACCCTCACCTGGACCCTCTCGCTTGGACCCTCACCTGGACCCTCTAGCCTGGACCCCCCTTGCCTGAACCCTCACCTGGACCCTCACCTGGACCCTCTCACCTGGGCACACACCTGGACCCTCTCACCTGGACCCTCACCTGGACCCTCACCTGGACCCTCACCTGGACTCTCACCTGAACTCTCACCTGGAAACTCACCTGGATCCTCTTACCTGGACACTCACCTGGACCCTCTCACCTCGACCCTCACCTGGAATCGCTCTGGACTCTCTCACCTGGTCTGTCCCACCTGGACTCCTCATCTGGCTGCAGCTGTGTCTGCCGATGGGCAGGTAGTGGCCACACGCCCGAGGCCACAGGCAGTAGAGGGAGGTCCCAGGCTGACAGCGGGGCGTTAGGTGCCAGCAGAGCTGGCGCAGGTGGCTCCGGGAGCAGATGGGGGTTCAGGGCCCAGGCCCAGCTCACCGGACAAAGGGGCCGCCCACCGTGTCAGGGTCGGGGGTCTCCGGGCCCTTCTTCCCGTTGGGCTGGTGATTCAGACAGAGCCGGCCGCCCAGCCCTGGGTTTCCCCAGGCATGGAACAGGCTACCAGGATGCCCGCAGTGTGCGGGGTGAGCCGTGGACATCAGACCTCCCCCCTGCACTGAGGCAGCGGCCAGTGAGGGACCCGAAGCAGAGAGCCAGACACCCCGAGGCCAGGCGCCCCCCTCACCATGCAGCTAGTGGGTGGGGCCCCCGCATGCAAAGCAGAGGCGGGGGATGGGGGCCTGGACACTCCGCACCTCTCCAGCCCTGCACCCGAACCCACCTTAGAGGGCACCCCTGGCCTGGGCGGGGGACTGGGTGGGGTAAAAGACCGCAGGGCATGGGCAACAAAGCTTGGATCAGCCCCAGGGGCCCTGAGGATGGACACCAAGGCCCCAGCAGACGATGACCAGGGCCTGGTGTCTGCCCCGCTGGACCAGTCGCTTCTCTGGGGCCCTGGTCAGTGCCTGTCCCTTCCCTCTGGAGACCCAACTACGTGGCCCCCTCTGCTGGCCCAGCGCGGCACTGCAGGACTCGATCAGGGGCTACCCTGCCATTTTCTGAGCAGGGAAATGGACCTTGGGCTGCGGGGGCTGAGTCTGGACAGGGTCTGCAGAAGCCTCTGGGCCGCCGGGCACCCCTGAGCTCAGCTGAAGTGAAGCTCCAGCCCCCCAAGTGTGGACTGGCAGAAGGCAGCTTCCAGGCGACCCGTGTGCCAATCCTCTGCCTCAGCAGGGTCCCCCGGGCCCTCTGAAGAGGTGACCTGGAGTCCAGCTGCCGGCTAAGCCCCACAGGGACCCCCTCCCTAGAGGTCAGCAGTGGCCCCCACATGCCCTGCGCCTCAGCCCAACCTCCACGCTGGCTCTCAGCACGAGGCTGTGCTGGCCGGACAGTGCCCAGCCCTGGGGAGGGAGTGTCCAGAGGGCCACGCCACAGATGAGCCGGCCAGGAACTGTGTGACAGTTGTGGGTGCTCCCCACGGGAATGACCTGAGCGGTCTGTAAAGGGCGGGGACGGGGGCGGCCGGGGTCACTGCTGTCAGACTGGGTCTGATGCTGGCCTGGGTGGGCTCAGCTCAGGGGGCCCTGGCTGCGTGTCCTACTCTGATGCAGACCACCTTGGGCACAGCACGTCTGCCACGGGTCTGGGTCACGCTCCGGGCAGAGGATGAGCGGCCACCTCCTGCCCGGCCTCGTTACCAGGGCCACTCAAGCTGCCCAGTGGGCACCGCAGGGCACATGGGGGGGGCCGAGGTCCAGGAAGGCTCCAAGTGCAGACACGCGTCCTCACTAGAACTCTCGGCTCGCCGCCTCTGCCGTGACTCATCGGCCTCGGGGCTGGGCCGGAGGGTCTGTGCCCTGGGCCCTCCACCGACCCCACCCCTCAGGTCCAGCCCGAACTTTTCCACTTGGCCAGGTCTGGCCGGGAGGGCCTGGGGCGAGGCACTGCCCAGGGTCACTTCCTGCGGCTCAGGTGGCAGCTGGCCCGCTCTGACCAGAGGGGCTGCTGCCCAATTCACAGATGCCCACAGCCCCACAGATGGGGTCTCCCAGGGAGGACGTCACCTGCTCCCACCAGCCACGACAGGCCATGAGCACCACGTCCCCAGCCTGTGGCTTCCTAAGTGACTCTGTGTCAGGCGCCGAGAGGAAGTGGCCGGGGCGGTCACAGCCACGCCCTGTCACTGCCAAGCAGGGGTCCCCTCCCTGGCCCTACTGCTCAGCCAGGCCCCACGGGGCCTCCCCAAGCAGGGTCCTGGGGGTCTGGCTGGAGGTCAGGTGGGAGGAAGCCTGTGAAGAGACCGACGTCCTCTCAGGCCCTCGGGCAGTGGGCCCCCACCAAGGGGTCCTAGGCCCTGTCACATCGGCTGAGCTCCTGTCCTCAGCTCTCCCAGTTCGACCCCAGCTGCTCAGAAGCACTGGCTGCCACCGAGTGAGCCCCCAGAACAGCCCAGCCAGGAACTGACCCGACTGGACTTCAGGTCAGCACCAAAGACCCACACTCACACACTCATACGCACTCACGCATTCATGTACACTCACACACGCACGCCCACATACACACACTCAGGCAGTCACACACGCACCTCCCGCATACGCAGACACGCACACTCACGCACACTTTCACACATGCATACTCAGACATGCAGCCACACACATACGCACTCTCGCACGCAGCACACAGATTCACACACTCACGCATACACAGAACCACCCAGTCCCGCACGGGCACACAGACCCGCACGCAGCGACACACCCTCACACACTGGCTCCCCAGCAGAGGCTCCGGGCAGGGCCGGTTCTGGGGCCGGCTCTGGGGATGGGGCGAGGCCTCCCCGGTGCCCTCTCGCTGAGGGGCAGAGGGAGAATGGGGCGAGCAGGCAGGCGGGGGGCCGCGACCCAGGACCTGCACCTCCGTCCCCGAAGTATGAGCTCCTGCCCTCAGCCGGTCCAGGGCACGCACCTGGCATGGGGCGGATCCGGAGGGTCCCACGGGGGCTGCAGGATGAGACAGAGAGGCTGGGCTGGACTGGCAGGGACGGGGACCGCAGGGGTGTGGGGCGAGGGCCGGGTGTCGTGGGTGCCGTGACCCGGCCTCAGCTCCCCCAGTTCGACCCCAGTCGCTCAGAAGCACTGGCTGCCACCGAGTGAGCCCCCAGACCATGGGAGCCCCGAGAAGCCAGGCAGTGGGCATGGGGACAGGAGGGGCCGGGCGCAGGTGAGCGGGTCCAGCAGCAGGACACGCACGGAGGCCCTGGTGCTTCTGCCTCCTGAGCCCAGTGCCCCTGGCCCACGCCTTGGACTGAAACCGACCCTGCAGCCCAGCCGCGGCCCCTCTGGGCACTGCCACACGCTGGGTCACACCAGCCGCCTCCCACCCGCACTGCCCTGGGCAGCTCTCCTGGGGGGCAGCCCACAGACACATCACCTGTGCGGGATGGATCTGGGGTGAGGACAACACACAGGGGCTGGCTCTGGGGACTCGCCGTCGCCCTGCACAGAGCTGGAGCCTGAGGTCACTCAGTCACCCGCCTGAAGAATGGGGCAGTGAAGGGGACCCTGGAATTCAGGCAACAGGAGCGAGGGCTGCCCCGGGCCAGACCCACCCAGGAAATTCTTTCTCCAGCCCCGGGGCTGAAACTCCCTCACTTCCTGCCCAGTGATTTTCCAAGCCTGCAACTTCTTCTGGGGCACGGGAAGTCGTGGTGGGCAGGACCACCCTGCCCCAGGCCCTGGGTGAGTCACCCCAGGAGCAGCGGGAGGGGAGGGCCGGAGTCCTGCACGCTCCCCACTCTCCCCAGGGGTGACCCGGGGAAAAGGGCCAGGAGGCTGGGACTGGGAGGAAGGGTGGAAGGGGTGAGGGGAGGCTCAGAGTGCAGCTGACCCCCAGACTCAGACGCTCCTGCAGCATGAGGACCCTGGTGGTATCTAGCACAGGGCGTGGGGGACCCCATTTCCTTTGGACCTGCCCCCCGAGTGGCGAACTCAGGGCCCAAGTGAGGAGGGGAGGAGCCCGGAGGCTGCCGAGTTGCCTGGGCGCCCAGGGTGAGCAGCCAGTGGGCAGGGGGAGGGCTGTCCGTGACCGGCAGGCCCCCTAACCCTGAGCTGCGAAGGCTTGAGCCCAGAAGTTTCTGGCACTCACCAGGCTGCCTCCCACAGACAACTCCTCCCAGGCTGCAGCCCCTGAGCCCTGCCTGGCACCTGCTGCAGGGATGTGCTGGGGCAGGGGCCGAAACGCCCTAAGGGTTACCCCAACTTCCTCTCAGACGCAGCCAACGGGGTGGGAGGAGGAGGCGGGAGGTAACGGAGCCAAGACCAGAGGCCCAGAGGCGTTGATCTGGGTCCACGCGATCAGACCTGGGAGGCGCTCGCCTTGCGCGTGACTGCCTGGTTCCATCCCCAGCAGCCCAGAGGGTCCCAGTCCCCTCCAGGGTGACCCCCAAGCGCAGCGCAAGGTGTGGCCCCGGAGCAGGAGATTCCGCTGAGCAGGCTCCCGCTGACCCCGAGGCTGGCCGGCGCCCACAGGATAGGAGCTGTCCCCACATAAGGGCACGCGGGGAAGACCCCTCCGACCCAGCAGGGCCCGGGCTGACTCGTGTCTGCAGAGAAGCCCCGGCCAAGGCATTCGAAGACGATTCGTGGAGGCCTCGGTCCATGCTGGCCCTCTCCTTCCTCTTCTCGGAATAAACTGGTCACTCCGCCCTCGTCTCCTGGAATTCTCTCTGAGCGAAGGTGGGAGGCAGGATGGCTGGTGGGATCACTCCCACTCTGGCACCATGAGCGGAACCAGGTCCAACATGCAGACTCGGGCCCTGGGGGCCGACGTGGGTGGTGGGAAGCCTCGATGCCCGTCTCCAGGCAGCTCTCTGCTGCCCACTGCACCTCAGAGCATCCATCTAGGAGAGAGGGGCTGGGACAGGGACCTTGAGTCCTTGCTTTAGGGGACTGGAGGGCCAGTGTTCCCCGGGCGGAGGACGGTTGGCACCAGCCCCCCAGATGCATGGAGCACTGGCGCCTGCAGTGCTGGGAACTCCAGGGGGGAGTGTGCCCCTGTGCCGGGAGCCAGGTGGTACCCACCAGCGTCCCTGGGCGAAGTGGCAGAGGGGTCAGGCTGGGCAGTCAGGACAGGCAGTGGGCTCGGGCGTGCCCTTGAGGTCCTCGGCGTGTTTTCTTGTGACCGCCCATGATGCCCGGCAGCACCAGTTCTCCAAGGGACACCTGGGGACAGGGCAGGCAACGGAGGACAAGGGTCCAGGCAGCCGGGCTCGGCAGCTGAGGACAGGACCCCCATGGGACCCCTGGCAGGAAGAAGCTGAAACCCGCCCACACTGGTGGGTGCCTTTTGGTGGTGCCAAGCATTGCCCCTTCCCCTGGCGGCCTGGGGACACCAACCCTCGCCACGTTTCTGCCTGCAAACTCACAGGAAAGGCTGCCTGCCGCTGAGCTGAGCTGCGGACCTGGATAGCCCACCCGGCCCAAACCACGCTTCGTTCCGGTGATTCCACCGCCCTGAGGGGCAGACAGCGCCCCTTCTACAGACTCGGAAACCCCGGGTCCCACGGGGTCCTGCGGGGATTGTTGGAGCGGGTGCCAAGGCATCAGAGAAGGATCGTCTAGCCGGGGAAAAGCAGCAGGTGGACCTCCGAGCTCTCAGGACCCCCCCAGCGAAGGAGACCCCTCCTGGAACCACAGGGACAAGGGGGGACGAGGGAGGAGAAAGGGGCGGGCCTGGCAGGGGGCCAAGGAGTAGGGGCGTGGCCTTACAGGGGCCGGGCTCATGGGGGGAGTTAGGAGGGGTCCAGGGGCGGGCGGGGCGGTGCGCGTGGGCGGGGCGATGAGCGGGCGCGCTGACCGACCGAGCTGGACCTCTGCGGGACAGAACTTGGGTCGACACGGACGGACGGTCGGACGGTAAGTGAGCGGCGGCTCGGCCCGGGCCTGCTGACGTCAGGAGCCCGGCAGGTGCTCACTGACCTTGGCAGGACCGAGGCCGCGCGGACGCGGGCGGGAGGCGCCCCCAGCCCCTCGCGTTTGCCCCGGGACGCCCTCGGCGGGCAGGACCCTGGCCCCGGCGGGACGAGCGAGGCTGCACTGGACTGGGGGGGGGGCCCTCCCAGGCAGCGGGTCCAGGGGCCACCGGTGTGAGCGCAGCTTCGCGCCTTGGGCGTCCTGCTGGGGGCGGGGAGTGCAGGGGGCAGCGCCCGTCGCGCGGGGAGTGCGTGGCCTGCCGGGCGCCTGGCTGGGCAGCGGCTGTCGCGGCTGCCCACCGAGCACAGTACTTTTCCAGGAGCCGCCCACCAGCTTTCCGGTCGCTGCTCGGCCGCCAGGACAGGCTCTGGCCGCCCCCGTCCGTGCGTTCTCGCGGTCCGCTGAGGTCCCCAGCAGCTGTCGCCGTGCCCCTCCCAGGGTGGCCGGTGACTCCAGTCCCCCAACTCCCGGGGAGGTACCAGGGCGCCCACCTCATTCCCTGGCGGGTTGGGGGGGCTGTGCACTGCGCCCCCCACTCTGCTGCGCCCAGGGAGGCCAGCGCCTGTCTTTCCCTGGCATCCCAGCGGGCGGACCCCTCCCCCAGCTCACTGGGCCCTGGTTGTGGGGTCCTCCCAGCAGTCACGTGGGCACGACAGCCGCATGGACGTGGCCCTCAGGCTCAGCCCACCAGTCCCTGAGGACCCGCTGGCCGAGTCCTGGCCTGCATCTCCTGTGCCGGGGTCTGATGTGAGGGGCTGCTCTGAGCGGGGGTCTCCCTTTGAGGTGTAGTGGCTGCTCCCACCATGCCGTGTGGCAGGAAAACTGAGGCCCAAGGTGGGCACACCTGGCGCTACAAGCGTGGCTTGGACATGGAAGGGGAGGCTGAGGGACACTCCCTGCGGGACACTTCCTGTCCACCATGCAAAGCAGCCGTGGCCTGCCTCCCCCTCAGAGCCCCCTGTGGTCACCGACATGCAAATCAGGCCTGCCAGCCCCACTGTGCCCAGTCTGTACCCGGACTGTGGGAGAACTCAGGCCCAGCTCAGGGAGAGAAGGGTCCTGCCGAGGGAAGTGGTGTCCCCGCTGCAGGGTGGTCATGGCTGGTGCAGGGACGGAGGGCCGAGTTGAGTGTCCCGCTGCACAGCCAGTCTGGAGCCAGACAGGCCAGCAAGGGCCGGGCACTCCGTCTCCCTGGGGCCCTGGGGTGTCGCTGCCCCAGGGGGCGGGGGCTGCAGGTGAGAGGCGGTTGCAGTGGCCAGCAGGCCCTGCCCACCCAGCCAGACCATGGGTGCAGCCAGGGCCCGGAGAGGGACCTGGATTTCTTTCTGCCGTGGCCAGCTGATGGGATTGGTCCAGCCCAGGGGAGTCAGAAGAGAATTCTTTTAACATGTCCTGCGTGCACCCATACATGACTGCGCCCACAGGCGTGACACAGACGCACACATACTCACATGGATATACATGCACACAGGTGTGAGGGGCCGTGAGTACAGACATGGTCACAGAATCAATCTGTGCAAACCTACGCATTCGTGTGGCAGCCCCAGACTGTGGCCCCAGGGCTGGCCCCAGGGCACATGTCACCCTCCTGTCAGTCACCCTTGCCTAAGCACAGGCCCTGGCTCCCGGGAGGCTCTGGGCTGAGCTGAGCCGAGCACCGGGCAGCGTGAGGAGGACTCGGCCCCACGTCTGGGCCAGTGACCACCACAGGGAAGCAGCAGGAGTGTGACCGGTGTTTCCGGCACCCCTGCCTCGGCGGGCCCACCCGCGCCTGGCCAGCAGGCCCTGCCCACCCAGCCAGACCCGGGTGGAGACTGAGGGGGTCCAGGGAGCCGCAGGACCGGTGAGCAAGGTCTGCGGGGTGGGATGTCGGGTTGGCCGCGGCGCCGGCCCCCTGACCGGAACTTTCTCCACAGGCCTGGGCTCTGTGGCGCCGTCAAGGCACAGAGATGCCCCAGCACTCGGCGGGGGACCAGCCCTTGGTGTCGGTGGCCCAGCTCACCCCCGCCAGCCCCCGGCTGGACATGGACAGCGTGGCAGGGCGGGCCCGGAAGGCGTCCCCTGGCTGGCCCCCGGGGCGGACAGGCCTGGGGTGCGTGTCTCCAGGGGGCTTCCTGTGCCTCCTGTGTGCCGCCTCCTTCCTGCAGGGCCTGACGGTCAACGGGCTTGTCAACAGCGTGGTCACCTCGCTGGAGCGGCGCTTCCGGCTGCCCGGCGCCCTCAGTGGCCTGATCGCCAGCGCCTATGACGCGGCCGCCTGCCTCTGCCTCGCCTTCGTCGGCTACTTCGGGGGCCGCGGGCACCGGCCCCGCTGGCTGGGCTGCGGGCTGCTGGTCCTGGGCACCGGCTCGCTGCTCTTCGCACTGCCCCACTTCACGTCCAGCCCCTATGAGGCGGCCGGGGACGGCGTGGCCACGTGCCCAGCCAACCAGACGCAGTGCCCGGGCGGCACCCCCGGCCCTCTGGGCCCCCAGATACTCTTCGTGCTGGGCCAGCTGCTGCACGGGGTGGGGGCCGCGCCCCTCTACACGCTGGGCGTCACCTACCTGGACGAGAACGTCAAGCCCAGCCAGGCGCCGGTGTACATGGGTGAGTCACTTGGAAGCTGCTTCTTAGTGGTCATGAGCGAGGCCCGGGCCGCCCCTCAGTGGACCCCACTGCCCGCTCTCGGCTCTCTGTGAAGGCAGAGATAGTGTGGGGCGGGGCCGCTTTGCAGCGGGTGGCCCGGGGGTCACCAGGCAGGGGAGAGACGGGGACTGCCCTCAGGGCCTGCTCACCCCCCCCCCCCACCCCACAGCTGCCGTCTACAGCGCAGCCATCCTTGGCCCCGCCGCGGGCTACCTGATCGGGGGCGCCCTGCTGAAGGTGTACACAGAGCTGGGTCGCGGGTGAGTGACCAGCGTCGGCCGAGAGTAGGCAGAGGGCATGGGCAGGAGGTCCGGCCCAGCTCTGCCCTGTGCTGACTCTGCCTCGTGAGATCCTGACTCTGTCCCGTGTGACCCTAACTCTGCCCCATGCGACTCCGGCTCTGACCGTGTGACGCCGACTCTGTCCCGTGTGACGTCCACTGTACGTCTGTCCCGAGTGCAGTTCGTCAGCCTGGAGGGGGCGTCCCCAGGCGTGTAGTGACTGCACTGACCGTCTCTCCACAGGACGACGCTGACCCCCGAGAGCCCGCTCTGGGTGGGGGCGTGGTGGGTTGGCTTCCTGGGCGCGGGCGCCGCTGCCTTCCTCATCGCCATCCCCATCCTCGGGTTCCCGCAGCACATGCCAGGTAGGGGCACCCATGGGCTGTCCTAGGGTGGCCTGGGGTCCAGCGCAGCACCTTCGGGTGCCCCTCCTGCCTGTACTGGGCCAAGCCCCGGAGACGGGGCCTGGTCGCTTCCCCCCACCTCCGGCACCCTGCGGCGCCGGCTGGACACCCCACCCGTTCCTGCCCAACCGGCTGTGGGAGGGGACCCTGCACTGGGTGGCACCTCTGATGATCCTGTCACCTGCACAGGCTCCGAGAGCAACATAGGCACGAACATGTCAGAGACCCAAGGGCTGAGAGACGCCCCTGAGGCCACCAGCAGCTCTGACGTCGGCAAGACCCTCAGAGACCTGCCCCTGTAAGCCCCCACTGCCCCTGAAGGCCCCCCACTGCCCTGGTACAACCCTACCCCCTCCACAATTCCCCACCCTGGGTGCCTTGGAGGTCATGTCCAGGCTGAAGCCTTGGTCCCCTGGTCTCTGGCTGGTGGCCAGTGGACTGTCCTCATGTCCTCTCTTCTCTCGGCCTGTCAGCCCTGACCGGTTCCCATAGGTGCACAGCTGTCCACAGAGGGGCACAGGCAGATGCCCCCGTGTCTCCCCTCACCCAGGCCAGAGTGTGCAGGCAAACATGCATACTCAATGCATGGATGCACAGAGACACACGTGTACACATGCACACGGGCATGTACGTGCACACACAGACACACAAGCATGCATGGCCGTGATGTTGCCAGATAAGATCATGGATATGGGCTGCTGATGGGGGTGTGGGTGGACTGGGTGTGAGTGTGTGACTTGGTGTGAGTGTGGGTATGACTGGGTGTAGGCGTGCATGTGAGTGTGGGTGGGACTGCGTGTGGGTGTAGTATGGGTGTGGGTGTGGCTGTGACTGGGTGTGACTGGTGTGTGTGGGTGTAGGATGGCTTTGGGTGGGACTGGATGTAGGCGGAGTAGGGTGTAGGTGTCAGTGGGTGTGGGGGGTGTGGGTGTGAGGGCTGCGTGGGCGTGGATGGAGGGCGATGTGGGAGCCGTGCCCGCTGCCGCCCGCCGCCCCCTATCCCCACAGTTCCGCGTGGCTCGTCCTGAGGAACCCCCCGTTCCTGCTGCTGTGTGTGGCGGGCGCCGCGGAGACCATGCTCATCGCGGGCATGTCCACCTTCGGGCCCAAGTTCCTGGAGTCCCAGTTCAGTCTGAGCGCCTCGGAGGCGGCCACCCTGTTCGGTGAGAACCGGGCGCAGAGGGTCTGGCGCTGGCTGTGGGGTCGGGGCTGGCGTGGGAGGCCAGTGCCAGGGCCAAGGCTGGTCGCGGGCTCTCCCCGCCTGCGCGCCTCTGGCACCCTCTGTCCCGCGGCGCCCCCCAGAGCTGGAGAAAAACGCCCCAGCCTCGGTTTCCCCTCGCCGAACCCCCGCCCCCCGCCCCCGCAGGGTATCTGGTGGTGCCGGCCGGCGGCGGCGGCACCTTCCTGGGCGGCTTCCTGGCCAGCAGGTCCACGCTGCGGGGCGCCGGCCTGGCCAGGCTCTGCCTGCTCTGCTCGCTGACCAGCCTGCCGGCCGCGCTCGCCTTCCTGCTGCACTGCCCCGACGCGCCCGTCGCGGGGGTGACGGTCACCTACGGCGGCAGGTGAGAGGGAGCCAGCGCGGGCAGGGGCGGGGGGCGGGGACGCGCGGGGCGGGATGCAGGGGGGCGGGACACCCAGGGCGCGGGGACAGTCGCGGGGCGGGGCGGGACACCCGAACGCTCCGGCTCGGCTCCTGGGGCTTCTGCGGGGCGGTCCAGCAGGGGGTGGGGCGGGGGCCGGAGGGAAGGCGGGGACCAGCCGGACCGGGCCCGGAGCGGGCCGAGCGACCGCGAGAGGTTCCGCCCGGCCGCTCGGAGGTTGGCCCCTCACCGCGCGCCCGCCCCAGCCCCCTGCCCGAGGGCCGCCTGGAGCTCAACGCGTCCTGCAACTCCGCCTGCGACTGCCGGGCCGCGCGCTACAGCCCCGTGTGCGCGCCCCGCGGCCTCACCTTCGTCTCGCCCTGCCACGCGGGCTGCCCGGGGCCCGCCGCGCCCGGCGCCGGGGGCCGGCAGGTGAGCGCGCAGCCCCCGCGCGGCCCCGACGCCCGGACCCCGCACGCCCCGGGGTCCCGCCCCCCGACGCCCAAAACCCGCACGCCCCCCCGACGCCCAGATCCCCGACGCCCGGGCCCCCCGCACTCCCCAGGCCCCCGCCCCTGACTCCCAGCCCCCACACGCCCCCCACCCCCGCCAGCGCCCCGGCGCCGCCCCCTGACGCCGTCTCCCCCGCCCAGGAGTACCAAGGCTGCGGCTGCGCGGCCGGCCCGACCACCGCGGGCAGGTGCGCCGCCCCCTGCCCCGCCAAGGCCCTGCTCCTGCTCGCCCTGTTCGCCCTGATCTTCTTCACGTTCGCCGGCAGCGTCCCCGCGCTCACGGCCACCCTGCGGTAAGTGCCGGGCCGGGGTCGCGCTCCCCCCACCCCGCCTTGCCTCGCAGCCTGCGGCGGACCCTGCGGACCCCGGGAGCAGTGGCCGGAGAGCGCACGTCCTCGGCGAGGTGCCCGCCCCCGGGTCGGGGTGGGGTGTGGCGCGGCCGGGGTGCGCCCGGCCGACCGCGTGCCCCCCGCAGGTGCGTCCGTGAGCAGCAGAGATCCTTCGCGCTGGGCATCCAGTGGGTCGTGGTCAGGAGCCTAGGTACGTGCGGGGGCGGGGGCTCACCCGCGCCTCTGCGCGGTCTCCCCCGCCCCTGAGCCGCCCTCTCCGCAGGGGGCGTCCCGGGGCCCATCGCCTTCGGCTGGGTCATCGACAGGGCCTGCCTGCTCTGGCGGCCGGGCTGTGGCGGGCGCAGCTCCTGCCTGCTCTACCGGAACGCGGCCCTGAGCCGCTACATGCTGGCCACCGGGCTGGCCTACAAGGTGAGCCCCCCGAGCCCCCTCCCTGCCTGGACTCCCGCAGCGGCCCTGAGCAGCAGCAGCGCTGCATCGTGGGTGGACGGCCGTCGTGTCCACACCAAGCAGAACGCTGCGGGGCAGAGCCCCACCTCACCGGAGGCCCAGACCCGCGACCCTCAGCGGCCTGTGTCCACTGCGGAGGCTGTTCTGACCCTGGGGTCTGATTGTCGTGTGCTGTGGACGTCCCTGAGGCCTCGCTGACAGCAGTGGGCACGACCACACTCAGGAGCTGAGTGTCTCAGGACCACAGTTGCCTGTTGGCGCGTGTGTGTCCGATCACCCGGCAGGGGTCAGCCACCAGGCCCAGGCCAGGCACTCGGTGTCCCTCCACCTGGGGGCCAGTAGGTTCCTGTCCCCCCAGGTCCTGGGCTTCACCCTCTTCGCCACCGCCTGTTTCCTGTACAAGGCCCCGCCGGGTCCCCCCTGCGGCCGGGAGCCTGCCCAGCCCGGCCAGTCACCAGCTTCTGACGGCCCCTTGGACACGCACACCCAGAGCCCTGTCTGACGCTGCTACTGACCCGCAGGAGAGGGAGAGAGCAGGCTGTCCCCATGTCCTCCGGGGCCAAGTGGTCCCACCGTCCACTCGGTGACTCCTGGCACTCAGGGTTCTCAGACAGAGGCTCTGGGACACAGACAGGTGCCCCGGGGGCCACAGCTCGCCACTGGCTGGCCTCTGAGGGCCAGCACTGACCAGCAAGAGGGCCATCTGTCCCCTGGCTGTCCCTGGCCGACAGAGACAGCAGCAAAAGTGCCTGCCCTCCTTGACCCCTCCCCTCTGCCCTTCCCCGGCAGGGGCCCACACAGCCCCCTGGGGGGGCGGGGGGAGGTCGCGTGTTTGGCTCCTGCAACCCTGGGTCGGACTCAATAAAGTCAGTCTGTCCCCCAGAGTCCCTCCGGTCTGCTGCCCTCTGGGTCGCCGTGGGTGTGGGGCACATGTGTGTCAGGGTGTCTCCCGTTCCCCTCGTCCATGCCTCTCATGTCCATCACTGCCCGCACTGTCCCTCACTCTTGCCCACGGCCACCCCAGGACTTTCAGGGGTGGAGAAGTCGCAGTGGTGGACAGCGAGCGCCAGGGGGCAGTGGAGATCCACCCTGATGCTGGGCCCTGGGTCTGGCCTGGCCACTGCGCAGTGTCCCCACGTGTGGTCATGTGTGGCGGTGGCTGCTGCCACCCACAGCGGCCCTGAATGGCCTGGACAGCTAGCCAGGCCTGCGGAGGACCCGGCCCCACCCACTGCTGCAGAAATGCCAGGGCCCCTGGGGCCTGGGGGTCACTCAGGAGCCCGAGGAAGGCCAGGGGGTCTTACCCTGAACTGGGGGTGGCCTTGAGGAGGGCGAGTGAGGCAGCCCCGTCCTGAATGCAGACTGAGGGGCAGCGCCTGCCCCGCGGCCCAGTGGGCGGGAGCCCCTCTGCCCAGTCTGCCTGTTGACCTCTGCTGGCCGCGGCCCTTCTTGTGTGGCTGGGGCGGGGCTGCTCACAGCGGCGGTGGCTGAGGGACGCTCAGGCAGGGTCTCATCTGGGGCCCAGGACCAAGGAAGGGGACAGATTTGTGGCGGTGCAGGACGCGTGGCTGGGGGTGCCCCCGTGCAGCTGACCCCTTCCCCACATGCCAGCCCTGGGGCCTCCGTCTACAGCCCCCACCCCCAGCAGTACTCACCCTTCCACACGCCCACCCCTGGGACCCACCTCACCCATCTTGGTGGACCTGGGGGCCTCAGGGACCCAGACACAGCCAGCCCATCCCCAGGACCCCTGGGAGCCAGCCCCGGCCCAGCCCTCCCACCCCTTGACCCGCTGCTGCTCGCCCTCTGGGTGTGGGGGCCCACCCTCCCCCGAGACGGTTGAGCCCCTCCTGGACCTGGACCTGTCCCTGTCAGCCTGCTCCATGTCTCAGAGTGCCTGAGGTCCCGCCCAGCGCTGCCCTGAGGCTGCGGCCCACTGGCTGCTCCAGGCGTCCCAGGCCTGAGCAGGACTAACATCTTTTTATCTGCCAGCCTCGAAATTTCCAGAGCTGAGAGTCTGTCACGTGCCACCATTTCAGGGGGACGAGGCCGCATGCTGGGGCACTGCTCGGTAAAGGACGCGGGCGCGGTCGTGAGCTGCTGGGCTCCTGCCCAGCCTGTCCCCTGGACGCCCAGGGGGCCACGACTGCCCAGCCAGCAGCGCAGACCCAGACTCGGCCAGCAGAGGGCAGCATCCCTGGCCATCCACTGGCAGTGCCTGGACACTGATGGGCTGGGCCCAGGAGGGCGGCAGCGGGTCCACTGTCTGGTCCATTGTGGCGACCTCCGACAACAGCAACCACTGCAGACCCTGCTGGTTCAGCATCTGAAGTGATCAGGGGCCAGAGTGGGCATCCGGCTCAGGCCCGGCCGGGCAGCCCGTGCAGGCTCAGGACAGAGGGCGGGCGGGTGTGGCCACGCTGGTCCTGACCTACGCTCAGCTGATTGCAGCCCTGGCAGGCGGGAGGGAAGGGCTGAGCGCCAGTTGCCCGCCCCCGCGGGAGGCCCTGGAGGGCTCCCCTAACCCGCACAGAACCAGCCCCCAATGCAGCCCCGGCTCCAGCTCCCTGGGAAGCGCGAAGTGTCGGCCCCTCCCCGACACACCCTTCATGGATCCTCGAGTCTGTGTGGCACCTCACACCTCCACTGCATGCCCTGAACCCCCACACGGCACAAGGGCGCCAGGCGGGCACGTCCACCAAGGGGCCAGCCACAGGGGTGGGTACAGCAAGTGACCTCTGCATGGGGGGAGCCACCTGGAAGAGCTGGATCCTCTGAGCTCCTCTCCCTCCTCCTCCTCCTCCTCGTCTTCCTTGTCGTCCTCCTCTTCCCCCACACCCTTCTGGAAGGCACTGCCAGGGGCAGAGGGCAGAGAGCAGAGTTCAAGAGAAGGGGTGGGAGATGGGTGTTGGAGCCGGAGAGATAGGACAGCTGGGAGGGCATTTGTCTTGCATGTCGCCGACCCGGGTTTGATCCCTGGCACCTCTTAGGTCCCCTGAATGCCACCGAGAGTGAGCCCTGAGTACTGCTGGGGGTTCACACCCCAGAGTAGGTGGGTCCTGTCACACCTGCCCAGGCTTGTTCACCCCCACAATCTCACGACGCTCCTGGCGTCCGTGCCAGAGGCCTGGCAGGACAGGGGTGCCGTGACGGGACGCCGGCTCCTTCTTACCGTGGCCGGCTGCCCGCTGAGGACTCTGTGGAGCTGGAAGGTTCAGGCAGTACGCCCCGGGGAGGAGGGAGGCCTTTGGTTCCCGCAGAGGGCAGAGGGTCGTGCCCGTGTCTACGCAGGTGGACTGAACCAGCGGACTGTTCCTGGAGTCCTGGGATTGTTCTCGTGTCGCCCTGTCCAGCCCCAGAGCCCACGGGAAGGGCAGGGCCAGCCAAGAGCCAAGAACCTGCCCCCAGGCCGATGCCCCAGGTGGCCGCCCTAAGGCTCCTGAGAAGTGGGGCCTCTCCCTGTCCTGGGCCTTCCCTGTGAAGGAGCCGCACTGCAGGGGGCTGAGGGCTCAGGCTGGGTGCACTCGGAACAGCCCCTGAGGGGACCCGCGCGTGTGGCCCAGAGACAGAACAGGACGGGACCCCAAGACCTGCAGGATCCGCTGCCTGCCCAGCCTCCCCCCGCCCGTGAATCAGGACACTGCAGGAGGCAGAGCCCACCTCACTGGGGGTCCCGGCCCGCGACCCTCAGCTGTCCTGCGGCTGCTCATCCTGGGTCCCAGGGGCAAGCGACGATCAGGACCCTCACCCTGGCCCCCACGCGCCCAGCGAGCTTTGGGCAGGAGAGGTGCCAATGTGGGGGGTCTCTGGGGAGCCGAGCCGGGTGAGGGGGCCGCGGGGAGCGGGGCTCGTGTCAGCTGCTCTGTGAACAGGCTGGGCGGCGCTTCCTCCGGGCTAAGCAAACACTTGTCATAATATTTGCCCCAAGTTACTTGGCGGCTGTTCCTCCGCCCTGAGATCTCACTGCTCAGACGGCACCTTCAGGAGCCAGTGAGCCGAAAGGTCAGTTTTGCTGATCAAACACCAGCTAGAGGAGCAGCGGGAGTGTTTGCCGGAACAGGGGCCATGCGGGACTAGCACGGGCCGCCCCAGGTGCCTCCCGACTCGTGAGGTCACCGGGGTCTCTCTGGGACCCTCTCCCAGCCCTGGGCACTTGCGGGGCACCAGGCCGGGGGTCGCTCAGCTCTCCGCCAGCCCCCAGGAGTCAGCAGTGGGGCTGCTGCCTTCCAGGGTCCAGTGAGGTCAGGGACCAGGAGCCAAAGCCACTGGGGACCAGAGAGGAGGGTGGGGTCCGGGGCCATCTGCTCCCCGAGGCACGCTAGGTCCCTCACTTCCACTGTGCGGCGGGACCACAGGGCAGACAGGTGTGGCCCTAGGTCAGAAGGTGGCCAGCGGGGCGGTGCCCTGCCCGTACAGACGCCCCAAGCTCAGGGCTCTGCTCTGTGCCGCCTCGTGCGCGCCTTCACCCCCCTTAGCTCCGATGAAGCCCCCCAGAGCCCCAGCTCAGCTCCCGGCGGGCACCCCAGGAGGGAGGGAGGCCCCGCCAGCTGCGCCGCCTCCTCCTCCGACCCGCGACCCGACCCTCTGCTCGGCGGCCCGGGGTGACAGGGACCCGCCGCCCACCCCCCACCCCCCACCCCCGGGGCCGGCCTCCTCCCCAGCGACCCGCCCCGGCCCTGGGCGCGGCCGCGGAGCGACGGGGTAGGGCGGGGAGGGGGGCGCGGGCGCGCGGAGGGCGGGGGGCGCGCGGGGCGGAGCGCGGAGCTTCGGGAGCGGAGCGGCGGGAGTGCGCGGAGCGGGCGCAGGGCGCGCGGGTGTGCGCGGAGCGGGCGCGGGTGTGCCCGGAGCGAGCGCGGGTGTGCCCGGAGCGGGGCGCGGGTGTGTCCGGAACGGGGCGCGGGTGTGCCCGGAGAGGCTGTGCGCGGAGCGGGGCGCGGGGAGGGGCGCGGGGCGTGCGCTGCGCGCGGCGCGGCGCGGCTCGTCCGGCTCGGCTCGTCCGGCTCCGCGGCCGGAGATCGCGGGTCCCCGCGGCCTCCCGCCCGTCCGGGCCCGCGCCCCGCAGCCACCATGCGCCTCAACCACTCGGCGGACGCGCGGGGGCCCGAGCTGGCGCCGCCGCCGTCGGGGCTGGAAGCCGCGCTCCTGGCCGCCGGCGTGGGCAACCGCTCGGGCGCCGCCAATGCCTCGGAGTGGCCGAGCGCGGCGCCCAGCAGCAATCTGGACGTGAACACGGACATCTACTCCAAAACGCTGGTGACGGCTGTGTACCTGCTGCTGTTCGCGGTGGGCGCCGTGGGCAACTCAGTAACGGCGTTCACGCTGGCGCGCCGGCGGCCGCTGCACGGCTTCCAGAGCACCGTGCACTACCACCTGGGCAGCCTGGCCCTGTCCGACCTGCTCATCCTGCTGCTGGCCATGCCCGTGGAGCTGTACAACTTCATCTGGGTGCACCACCCCTGGGCCTTCGGCGACGCCGTCTGCCGCGGCTACTACTTCCTGCGCGAAGCCTGCACCTACGCCACGGCCCTTAACGTGGCCAGCCTGAGCGTGGAGCGCTACCTGGCCATCTGCCACCCCTTCAAGGCCAAGACCCTCATGTCCCGCAGCCGCACCAAGAAGTTCATCAGCGCCGTGTGGCTGGCCTCGGGGCTGCTGGCCGTGCCCATGCTCTTCGCCATGGGCCAGCAGAACCTCAGCGCCGACAGCCAGCACCCCGGGGGGCTGGTGTGCACGCCCGTCACCAGCACCCACACCCTCAAGGTCATCATCCAGGTGAGCCGCGGGGGCGGCGGGGCGGCGGGGGAGCCTGGCAGAGGGGCTGGCAGGTGGGCAGGGCGCGCCAAGCAGCTCCCGGTGTGTGCCCTGGACACTCACTGTCCCTCCTGGGCCCAGTCCGGCCAGACTCCCTGCTGGCCACCCGGCCTGCCCCACAGGGGGCCCTGGCTGACCCCCGCCCCACCTTGGCCTCTGCCTGAGCTGGGTGGGAGCAGTGCCCTTCCGGCACGCGGGTCGGGGAGGGTGGGCGACGCCACTCCTCGGGCTGTGAGGACCAGGTGCCTGGGGTGGGAGCAGGTGCCTGGGGCTAGGGCTGACTCGGAAGCCCTGGACCATTGTCCTCAGGCCCCACCTGACCAGGCTGTGCTTCCAGCCACCCAGCACGCCGCCTCCCGGTGGACTTGCCCCTCGGGAGTGTGGGGCCCGGGGCCAGGCAGGCCGGCAGCCTGTGAGGTGAGTGGGCCGAGGCCGGTGTGTGCTGGTCTTGGGCCGGGAAGGGGACACCGAGGAAGCTCCCGGCCCCGCACGGCACCGAGCACGGGTGCCCAGAGGCAGCCCCACCTGCAACGCCCCCGGCCATGAGGACTCTGGGCAGCAGCTGCCCATGGGCCCTTCCTGCGGGCCACACAGAGGAAGCAGATCTTCTCCCCGGTCGCGGCTGCTGTGGAGCCCGACCCAGCTCTCCCCCCCCAGCCTGGCATCGGGGTGTGGGGTGCTGCGAGAGCCAGGAGTGGAGCCCCCACCCCAAGAGCCTGGGGCCGTGTCCAGGCCCCTGCCCCCAGGGGGCTCGCGTCACCTCGCTGACGTCTGTGTCACTCCACTGTGACGCTCTGGCCTCAGCCGGGCTCTCCATTCAAGGGCTCTGATTACTGCACTGCCCCCGCTCTCTCCAGAGCCCACGGGGGTCCTGCGTGCCGCCTCTCAGAGGCCGCCTGGCCGCCCCCACCCTGCAGGGCGCCGCCACCCACTGGGCCGCGCCAGTCCCCGGGGCGGCCTGGCTCCCCTGCTCTGCGCTGCCCAGCAGTGTCCAGGCACATCCCAGGCACAAGGACGCCAGCACAGACCCACACAGACACGCGCACACATGAGCGTAGATGACATGGGTAGAGACACACACGTGAGAACAGCTAGACACCCTCAGCGCGCGCGCACACACACACACACACTGTGAACGCAGACACAGACACCCTCAAAACACACACGCGTGGCCCTCCTGGGGCCCCTGGAGCCAGCAGGCGTTTGTGGGGTGGGACAAACCACACGGGAGGGGCTGCACGGGCCGGGCTGGGGAGCTGGTTGCTCCCACTCCCGAACCTGGCAAGCGACAGGTATGAGGCCGCACACGGGCAGTCCAGAGAGCCTGGCCATGCCCCACACTCACCTCTGCCCCCTCTGCGTCTCCAGTAGCTCCATGGAAACTGTCCACCCACAGTCCTGTCTGGTGTGGACAGTGCTCACTTTCCCGTCCGGGGTGGACAGTCCCACTGATGCTCTTCACGGAGCAGGAACTGGCTCCTGGGGGAGGGGTCCAGGGCGTCTCCTGTGTGAGAATCACTGAGAGACTGGACTCTGTCGTCCCCTGCTGACCCTTTGGAAGCACAGCTCTGCCTCTGGGGACAGTGCTAACTTCGGACCAAACCCTCCCCCCAGGCCCTGGGTGGGGTCCATGAGCCCTGGGCAGCGGCCCAGGGACAGAGCCTGTCCCCACTAAAGCTGTCCCCACTATAAAGACCCCTCATGCCCACACTGGGCAGTGTCCACGGCCCTCAGGTCCCCTGAGCACTGGCTGTGGCAGGGCTGAGTACCCCAAAACTGCAGATCCCTGAGTGTGCGTGAGAGCTGCCCGCCCTGCCAGTCTCCGGGAGCTCCTCCTTGGCCGGCCCCAGCTCGTCATCTGCTGCTGCAACCCCCGGCGCTCGCTCTTCCTGCCCCTGCGGCTTGTCTGCCTGTCCCGGGGGCTGGCGGGTTCTCGCTGTGGCCCCTGGGCCTCCCCATGTCCCTCACGCCCTGTACGGCCAGCATGCGTCTCCTGGCAGCGGGCAGAAGAAACACCAGCCTATCAGCGGCCCCAACTGCCCAGGACGGCGGGGGCTCTGCGGCCAGTGCTCCTCGTCCAGCGCGGCCCCGGGAAGGCCTGAGGGGGCGCGACCTGGCTGTGAGGCATCTGCCGGGACGGGGCAGGAAGCGGCTGTTGGGGTTCCTCTGGCACCCCGTGCTGGCCCCGAGTGGAGTTGGCCCTTGAGTCCGGGGAGCCGGCGGGCAGCTGGAGTCTCTGCGGGCGGCTCCAAGGCCTCGTGAGTGCCCCCCCGCCCCCCACAGCCTCTGAGCAGCCCCCTGGGGCGGCAGCACCCAGCCACGTCTGGTCTCCCGCTGACCCCGTGGCGGCGACCCCTGCAGCAGGGACGGGAAGGAACAACCCAGCCCAGGATGAGCTGCCCCAGCTCACTGTGGCAGAGGCCCTGACCGTTTGGACAGCCCGGAGGCCCCTGGCTGGACAGGATCGCGGCCACCCCCGTCCACCTCCTGCAGCTTCTCATCCTCCGCTTCCCTCGGGGCCACCATGAGGAGGGAGCCCCTCAGCCTCCCAGAGATGCGGGAGCGTGGACACTGGCAGGGAAGGCCGTGGTCCAGCCTCCTGGGCACAGGTGTGCCCGAGGCCTCTAGCACAGAGAACAGCCGTCTACATGGAACACAGACGCAGCAGGAAGACGGAGCCTCGGGGACGCCGGGCCCGAGCTGGACAGTCCTCAGCCAGGAGGACAGGCAGAGCGGGACTGCACGCGGCCACCCCTCTCCAACCCGTCCTGCTGGGGGTCTGGGGGGCAGGGCAAAGGCGCCTCTGGGCTGGACATTCCCGAGTTCCGGAAGGTTCCCAGGTGGAAGTGTCTGTGGGTGTCAGTCCGAGGCTGCGCTGAGGCTGGGCCATGGGTGTCCTCACGGAGCATCAATATTCATGGGCGCTCGGGGCTCCACATTCCCCGTAATTTAAGTGTCATCAAGAGCTGCTTCGTCCCAGCCCCTTCCGGAAAATGGATCCTCATTAACCCTCCCCGAGTCTGTGGGAGGGAAACGTCCCCAGGAGCAAAGCTCGCCCCACCCCCGACCCCCTCAGGGACAGCTGGACGTGGACAGCCCACAAACACGAGGAGCTGCTGGGACGGCCTGGCTCAGCCCCGCTGACCACAGCCACCGTGCTGGATGGCGCTGGGGGACCATTCCAGGGTCCGGAGTCCCGCAGGGGACACGCACGGCTGTGCCGGCTGCTGTTTCACGCCCAGCCTGCTGCCCTTTGGCTGTGAGCAGGAACGGCCTGTCCAGGCATCCCCTGATGACCTTCGAAAGCCCGAACCCGCGTCCACTGCAGGTGGCCCCGCCCCTGTGCCCAGGGGGATTTGGGCACTGGGGGCCGCTTCCCTGATCTGATTGATGCCCGGCAGCCAGGCTGGTGCCAGTGGGGTGTCGGGGACAGGATGTGAGGGGATGGGGGGGGCACTGGGCGCTTCCCAAGGGTGCCCGGTGCTGTCCGTGGTGCTGCCTCCCCGCCTCCCGGGGGAGCTCAGACCCCAAGGGGGAAAGCCGGGGACACGTGGGACAGGGACGCCCATGAAGGGGTGTCTTGGGGCTGGTGGGCTGCAGGCTCATCCCCCCTCATGGCCCCAGACGGCTCCCGTGCCACCCCCTTGCGCCTGGCATTACTGGTGGAGCCCAGGTCCGTGAGCGCGGCATGGGGGCTCCCTGACATGTCGTCCTGGGACGGTGCCCCTCTGTCCCGCGTGGGGAGGGGGCCGGTGCTACCAAGAGTCCCTCGCGTGAAGCTGCAGCATCGGCCGTGTCCCCACGTGGGCCGTGGCGCGGCTGGGTGTGTGGCAGTGTCAGTGGCACTCCGAGGCTGTGGGCATGGGGGAGACTCTCGGCCTTGAGTCCAGTGCCTGAAGGGCCACGTCTGGGCATGAGGCGGCCAGCCGCGCCCACATGCCCGCCCACAGGGCTCTGTGCCGAGGCCACGCGCCTGTCCTCCCAGGCCCTTAGGCCCAAGGAAACAAGGGCAGTACCAGGGCCACACGCGTGGCCACCAGGGCACAGCTCTGAGGCACAGGGGTGACCAGACTGTCCCGGAACCCCCTGATTTCCAATCCTGGCCACGGGGAAAGTAGGCGCTGAGGACAGGGCCCAGGTCCCACTGGGCCCCGTAGCCTTCGGGAACGAGGCTGGTGTGGGCAGGCCCTGGGCTCCAGGCTACTGCCTGTGTGGTCCAGGCCGATGCCGCCCAGTCCAGGGTGACTTACCGTGCTCCCTTTCCAGAACTTTCCTAGCTATTCTTAGACATTCTTTTCCTGCGACTGCAGCCAGCCTGTCTGCTCCTGGTGGTGTTTGCTGGATGGGGCCGGCCAGAGGGCCCGGTGCCTCGGGTCGGCCAGGGGGATGGTGTCCTTCCCCCACCCCCCCGCGTCATCTCTGAGGCACTGCCAGGGGCCGTGTCTGCTCTTGGGGAGGGATGCTCTCTTGCCTGAGCTGGCCAGAGGCCCCTCGCCTCCCGGCCAAGGGGGCTGAGGCTTCGTTCCGTCGGGACTTGCTTTGCCCGACACCAAGGCCTGGACATCCTCCAGCGGGCGACTGGCGTCCAGGCCAGGCCCTGACACCCCGGGACACGCTGGGCACTCGCGGCCCCGCCGGCTCAGCAAGGTATGGAATTCAGATGTTTTGACATTCGGCGTCTGCGCTGGATACACTCGTTCTGTTTAAGCCGCCCGGGACAATGACGCATGGCTGCTGTCTGCTGGCGGGAGCCCCGGAAACAGCCCTGATGGCACCTTGGGGTCCCGCAGAGGGGCTGCCAGGAGGCCAAGCAGGCATCTTGGGGACAGGTGACTCGTGCAAGACAGGGATGGAGGCATGGGCCAGGGTCAGAAGAAAAAGCCAAATGCAGTTTGGGGCTCCACACTGGCCCGGGTGCTGCGGCTCTCGGGGCCTGCGCCCCTCTCCGCTGCAGGGCAGGGGCGGGGGCACGGGCATGGCCAGTGCTGGCCACTCTGAGCCAGTGACTGGCCAGGCTGCACCTTCTGAGCTGCGGGGGCGGGTCTGCTGTGTGGACGGGACGGCCACGCGGGTCTGACGCCGCTCGCCCATGTCCTTGCAGGTCAACACCTTCATGTCCTTCGTCGTGCCCATGGTGGTCATCTCCATCCTCAACACCATCATCGCCAACAAGCTGGCCGCCACGGTTCGCCACGCGGCCGAGCTGGGCCAGGTGTCCACAGTCGGGGGGCAGCACGGATCCTTCACCATGCCCATCGAGCCAGGCCGGGTGCAGGCGCTGCGGCATGGAGTGCGGGTGCTCCGTATGTCCTCTGGGCCCCGGGGAGGGCCTGGGGGGACAGCAGAGGCCGACGCGCGCTGAGGCTGCAAGTCCCAGAGAATGAAGCGTGCAGGGCTGGCAGCACAGCCAGCCCTCAGGGGCATTCCTCTCCTCCCCGGCAGACGCTCGCCCTCCTCCCACCCACCCACCCCTGCACACTCGCCCTCCTCTGTCTCCACCCCTGCATGCTCACTCCTCCCTTTTACTCAGCTCTGTAATATCCACCCACTCCCCGTCCGCCTCCCTCCTCATCACCCGTCCGCCTGCCGTCCATCGCCCACTCACCCACCCACCCATCACCGCCCACCTACTCCTCGATGGCTGGTCCACCGGCCCCTCCATGGTCTGCGCCGCCCGCCTGCCCCATTCCGACAGCCATCAGCCACGCGCTCATCTCTCCACCCTCCACGCGCCCGTCGCCGTCCCTCTCTCACACTGCCCACTCCCTCTGGCTCCAGAACGCTCCGTCTGAGGAGAGCGCGCTGCCCCTGGAACACGACCCCTCCTACTGGGGTGTGCGTGCCCGGGTCAGTGACGCACGCATTCGGTCCAGCGTGACGCCCGCTGGCTCGGCCGGCTGCTGCCACGGGTCCCAGCGTGCCTGTCTGCCCATCCTGCACTGCCTTGTGGCCATAGGTGGGCATGCTGGCCTCCGGGCGGGCTCAGAGCAACAGTGCAGCGAGGGGCACTGGGTGTGGCCGACCTGGGTTTGATCCCCAGCATCGCAAATGGTCCCGAGTCCTTCCAGGAGTGATCCCTGAGCACAGAGCCAGGAGTCACCCCTAAGCACTGCTGGGTGTGATAAAAAAAAGAACTTCCTTGTGTGACAATTGGACCGGCCACTCCTCTCCCCCTGCCTGTCTCACCCTGAGCCCGCGTCTTCCTCCCGGCTCCCTCCCGGCTCCCCGCCCGCCTGCCCTCTGAGCTCCGCCTCTTGTGGCCCAGGTGCTGTGGTCGTGGCCTTCGTGGCCTGCCTGCTGCCCTACCACGTGCGGCGCCTCATGTTCTGCTACATCTCCGGACATCAGTGGACTCCGTGAGTCGGGGAGCTCGGCGGGGGGCCCCAGCAGGCGGACGTGATGGGCAGGGGCACGGGACGGGCACCCACAGTGGCCCCAGCCGCGGGGAGGTGGGCTAGGGCAGCGCTCTCGGCTCCGTGCTGAGCTGGCAGGGTGGGACGGGGCCCCCAGACGGGCTGTGACCCGGGGAGTGAGCCAAGGGGCAGGGGAACCAGGCCCGTCAGGAGAGCCACGGGGCCCCGGGAAGGGGCCGGGGCCAGCGGCACCGTCTCTGCGTGGGCCCCGCTGCTAGGTTCCAGAGTGGTGTGCGCGAGGTACCAGGAGCAGGTCCGGTGTTGGGGGACTAGTCCTGCTCACCCCGGCCCTGCACCTGGCCCGGCCTCTGCCCGCAGAAGGGCAGAGCTGATGGGTGTCGGGGCCGCGGCCTGCATCTCTGAGGGGAGAGTGCTGGCAGGGTCTGCTGGGGGTGGGGGGCAGTGGGCTCTGTGCGTGTCAGATGGGGGTGGCTTTGTGTGTGTGTCTGACAGGGGCGGACTCTGTATGTGCGTGTCTGACGGGGGTGGCTCTGTGTGTGCGTGTCTGATGGGGGTGGCACTGTGTGCATGTCTGACGGGAGTGGCTCTGTGCGTGTCTGATGGGGGTGGCTCTGTGCATGTCTGACGGGAGTGGCTCTGTGTGTGCGTTATCTGATAGGGGTGACACTGTGTGCTTGTCTGACGGGGGTGGCTCTTGTGTGTGTGTTGATGGGGGTGGCACTGTGTGCATGTCTGACGGGAGTGGCTCTGTGCGTGTCTGATGGGGATGGCTCTGTGCATGTCTGACGGGAGTGGCTCTGTGTGTGCGTTATCTGATGGGGGTGACACTGTGTGCTTGTCTGACGGGGGTGGCTCTGTGTGTGTCTGATGGGGGTGGCTCTGTGCATGTCTGACGGGAGTGGCTCTGTGTGTGCGTTATCTGATAGCGGTGACACTGTGTGCTTGTCTGACGGGGGTGGCTCTTGTGTGTGTGTGTCTGATGGGGGTGGTACTGTGTGCTTGTCTGACGGGGGTGGCTCTGTGTGTGCATGTCTGATGGGGGTGACACTCTGTGCTTGTCTGACGGGGGTGGCTCTTGTGTGTGTGTGTCTGATGGGGGTGACACTCTGTGCATGTCTGATGGGGGTGGCTCTGTGCGTGTCTGATGGGGGTGGGCTCCATGTGCTTGTCTGATGGGGGTGGCTCTGGGTGGCGTGTTGATGGGGGTGGCACTGTGTGCATGTCTGACGGGAGTAGCTCTGTGTGTGCGTGTTTAATGGGGGTGGGCTCAGTGTGCTTGTCTGATGGGAGTGCCTCTGTATGTGTGTCTGACGAGGGTGGCTCTGTGTGTGCGTGTCTGGTGGGGGGGGCTCCGTGTGCGTGTCTGGTGGGGGTGGGCTCCGTGTGCGTGTCTGACGGGGCTGGCTCCGTGTGCGGGCCTGACTGTCCTGCTACCCCAGGTTCCTGTACGACTTCTACCACTACTTCTACCTGCTGACCAATGCCCTGTTCTACGTCAGCTCAGCTGTCAACCCTGTCCTCTACAACCTGGTGTCGGCCAACTTCCGCCAGGCCTTTGTGGCCACGCTGGGCTGCCTGTGCCCACCCTGGCACCGCCGTGCGGCCAGACTGGCGCGGACGGCCAACAGCGTGTCCAGCAGCCACACGTGCTCCAGCAACATCACTCGCGAGACGCTGTACTAGCCCCCGGCCCCTCCCCAGCCCCTCTCGCCCAGTCCCCCATGGACAGAGACTGAAAGGCCTCGGGAGAGTGCAGGGCCCAGGGCCGGCCCCGGCTCCAGGGACAAGGCGGGGCCTCCGCATGGCCGGTGAGCACCTGGCCCGGACCAGCCTCCCTGGGCACCCCGGCACAGGCATGAGGCCCGCGGGGGCCCCCAGCCTGCAGGCAGCTTCAGGGCAAGGGCACCAGGAAGGGCCGCGTCACCAGCTGTCCCCACTGTCCATGGCTGTCCCTCTGCCGTCTCTGGGCCCCTTAGTGGGTCCGACCCCTCGGCCCAGTCCGATGCCTGCAGTGCGCAGGAACCAGGTCACAGAGCCTCGTGGCCCGGCCCAGCGGGGGCCACAGGAGCCCGGAGCCCACAGCTGCCCCCTCCTGCCAAGCCCCCAGCCAAACCTCAGCAGTGGGCTCCGGACCTGCCTCGCTCAGGGCGGGGGCCAGTAGGACTCGCTTCGCTGCCCATCAGCCCTGGAAGGAGACCCCCACCCCGCTGACCACCCACCCTTCCACGTGACCCCAGGCCCCAAGCCCCGAGGTCCCCCCTCCCATCCCCACATCTCTCCCGGGCCAGCCCGGCCTCCCACGGCCCTCCCCTCTGAGCATTGCCCTCCCCCCAGCCACACCCCCACACTCCTCCCCCCCATCACCCTCAGAAGCTGGGGTCGCCCCAAGGCTCCGAGCTCACCCCATTCACCGAGACTCATCTGAAGGAATGAAGCGCTGACGGGGGCAGGGGCGGCCCCTCCACTGCCCGCAGCTCCCTTCCGCCCGACAGGAGACAGGAGACAGAACTGCCATTCCCCATCCGTTGCCGGGCAACGGGAGGCTGCCCGGGAGGGGCTCTGTGGGGTGAGAGGCTGGGGGGAGGCGGGAGGCGGAGTCCAGGACCCCCCCATCCCCCCAACCACCATTAGCTTTGTCTCACTGGATGCTTTGCAGACCTGGTCCCTGGCAGCCCTTAAGGCACAGCATCGCAGGGAGATAAGGAACTAGAGCCCTGGAGGGCCTGCCTCTGCACACACGTGTACACCTATGCGCACACAAGCACATGTGAACATGGCACGCATCACACATGTGAACATCCATCCACACACCACACACGTGAGCATTTATGTACACACATGATCACATCACACACGACCACGCACACACATTATATGTGAACACCCCACATGCACATATGGGCACATGTGAATATCCCATGGACACACTGCACATGTGAACACCCGTGCACGTATGTGGGCATACATAGGCACAGAGCACACACACACGAATCTCTCATACTCACATGCACACAGACACATACGTGAATGTCCTGTGCGTATGCGTGCATGTGCAGAGACCACATGCCCTCCACACGGGCCAGCACACATTTAGTGAACGTGAGTGTGCCAAGCACGCACATACTAGGAAACACGCCACACCCACGCACACCTGCCCGTGGGCAATTGCGAGCACACCACATGCGTGCCACACACACCACACACACAGGTGATGCACCGTGAGGCACCCGTGTGCCTCTGCATGGGTGCCCCGCCGTGAGCACCACACACATGAACACACACGTGCATGGCGAGACCCGACTCTGCCCCTCCACGCCCAGAGCCCCAGGCAGGCCCTGAGGCGAAGCCCCTGGACCTACTCCAGGGGTCCACGTGATGTCTCCCGGGGTCAGGCCCTGTCTGCACCCTGGAGGGCGGAGCCGCTGGAGCCGGGGGTCACTGGGCTCTGCCGGCCACTCTCCACCTCGGTGCCCAGAGCAGGCCCGTCCCTCCAGCGAGGAGCCACGGGGACGTTGAGACCACCCCAAGCCCAGGAGACCACTGGGCCTGCCCACCTGACCCTGCCCTCTGCGCCCACCAATAAAGTGCACCCTCGCCTGGCCTCTAGTCCTGCTTCTGGGGGAGGGACCCTGGGCTGGACATGTGGGGGCAGGGGAGAGCCTGCTCCAGGGCCTGTTCCCGGGATGTAGCACACACGAGGTCTCAGCACCGGGCAGGCCCTGCTGTCCTGCGAGACGCAGAACACCCTGATTCGGCCTGCTTAGGCCCCCGCTGCGCTAGAGTGAGCGCCCCAGGATGGTCCTGGCCTGGCTGCGTTGAGTTCTCGGGTAAAGGGTCTTAGAGCCTGAAGAAGGAAAGTGAACACTGTGATGATGAGTCCAGGCAACAACGGGGGCAGGGAGATAGAGAGGGGGGAGAAGGGAAGGACAGACAGAGGGAGGAAGGGAGGGATGGAGGGGTGAAGAAGGAGGAGGGATAGAGGGAGGAGGGGATGATGGAGGAATGAAGGGTTAGAGGGAGGAAGGGAAGGAGGCAGGGATGGAGGAAGGGGAGGGAAGGAGGGAGGCAGGGAGGGGGGAGGGAGGGGAGGGATGGCGGGAAGGAGGAGGCCATGGGGACAGAGGGGAAGGGGGGGAGGGGAGAAGCTGACCCCAGGGAGGAGGGGTTGCGGGGGGCTTGGGTGCAGATCCCCGGAAGGGTCTTCCTGACCTCCCTGCACAGGACGGGCCTCCCCCGCGGTCGCCCAGCTGAGCCCCCTCCTCACCTCCGAATGCGACTGTTGCCCGGCCGACTACGGCCATCTGAGAGCCCGACGGGAACGCGCTGGGCCCAGGGCGAAGTGCGGGTGGGAGGGACGCGTTCAGGGAGGGGCAGACCTGGGGCTGGAAGGCAGCAGCAGGGCCGGACGTCAGCCCTGGTGGGACCCATCCCCAGCCTCCAGGGCACACGGTCCCACTCTCCTGTCACAGCTACACGGGACATCAGTGGCACGTCTGTCTGTGTCCATTAGGAGACCAAAATGGGTGAGGGGCGGGTGACCCAGTGCTCTCCCCGACAGACTGTCCTGTACCAGGAGCCACGCCCCTGATCACTCGACACGCCCGACCATGGGCCAATCCTCACCACGAGACCCTCCTGATCGTGGAGACACTCCTCACCACGGGGACATGCTGACCCAGGGGGCGTGGTGACCATGGAGACCCTTCTGACCACAGGCCGACTGGAGTCACCAGGTGCAGGCCACAGTCCCCCATCCTACTCCCACCCGGGGGTCCCCATAACCAGTTCCACCAGCCCCTACGTCTGTGTTTCTGTCCTCAGGGATCTCCTGCTGTCTGTGCCCCCAGGCCCTGTCTGGAGGAAGGGGATGCTGACCGACAGGAAGGGGCCACAGGAGCCGAGCCGTGCGCTCAGCACTCCCCTGCTGCCCCCTGCCCTGTGCCACCTCTGACAGCTGCTCAGGACCACCCCAGAATCAGGACTGACCCTGCTCTTGACTGACTCTGCCTGTGCCTGACCCGGATCTGACCCTGAATGACCATCATCTAATTCTGATGACTCTAACTGACTTCCCTGACTGCCCCTGATGGATCATGATCTGACCCTGACCCACACTAACCCTGACTGGTGCTCACTGACCCTGACCCAGACCGACCTGACCCTAAACAACCCTGGCCTGAGCCTGATCCTGACTTAACCTGATCTTACCTGTCTGACCTAACCCTGTCTGATGCTGACTGACCTGACCCTGACTGACCTGACCCTGACTGAACTGACCCTGATCCTGACTCAGCCTAATATGACCCTGACTAACCCTGACTGATGCTGACTGACCTCACCCTGACTGACCTAATCCTGACTGATGCTGACTGACATAACCTTGACTGATGCTGACTGACCTGACCCTGACTGACCTGACCTTGACTGACCTGACCCTGATCCTGACTCAGCCTAATCTGACCCTGACTAACCCTGACTGATGCTGACTGACTTGAACCTGACTGATGCTGACTGACCTGACCCTTACTGACCTAACCCTGACTGATGCTCACTGACCTAATTCTGAATAATCTGGCCCTGAATAATGCTGACTGACCTCACCCTGACTAACCCTGACTGATGCTGACTGACCTGACCCTGACTGACCTAACCCTGACTGATGCTGACTGACCTAACCTTGACTGATGCTGACTGACCTGACCCTGATTCTGACTCAGCCTGATCTGATCCTGACTGACTTAACCCTGACTGATGCTGACTGACCGGACCCTGACTTACATATCCCTGACTGATGTTGACTCACCTGACCCTGACTGACCTGACCCTGACTGACCTAATCCTGACTGATGCTGACTGACCTGACCCTGACTGACCTAATTCTGACTGATGCTTACTGACCTAACCTTGACTGATGCTGACTGATTTAAACCTGATTTACCTAATCCTGACTGATGCTGACTGACCTGCCCTGACTGACCTAATCCTGACTGATGCTGACTGACCTGATCTTAACTGATGCTGACTGACCTGATCATGACTGACCTAACCCTGACTGATGCTGACTGACCTGATCTTAACTGATGCTGACTGACCTGATCATGACTGACCTAACCCTGACTGATGCTGACTGACCTGACCCTGACTGACATATCCCTGACTGATGCTGACTGACCTGACCCTGACTGACCTGACCCCGAACTGACTTAGCCTAATCTGACCCTGACTAACCCTGACTGATGCTGACTGACCTAATTCTGAATAATCTGGCCCTGAATGATGTTGACTGACCTGACCCCGACTGATGCTGACTGACCTGACCCTGACTGACCTGACCCTGACTGATGCTGACTGACCTGACCCTGACTAACCTAACCCTGACTGATGCTCACTGACCTAATCCTGAATAACCTGACCCTGACTAATGCTGACTGACCTGACCCTGACTAACCCTGACTGATGCTGACTGACTTGACCCTGACTGATGCTGACCTGACCCTGATTGACCTGACCTTGACTGACCTGACCCTGATCCTGACTCAGCCTAATCTGACCCTGACTAATCCTGACTGATGCTGACTGACCTAATCCTGACTGATGCTGACTGACATGACCCTGACTAACCCTGACTGATGCTGACTGACCTGACCCTGCCTGACCTAACCCTGACTGATGCTAACTGACCT